TGGCGAACCACTTGCCCATGCAGGTGAGACACCACATGGGGCGGCAGTAGCACTGCTGGCACTCGCCCTCCGCCGCCTCCTGGCAGGTCTTCACCAGCTTCACGCCGGCACGGGTTTGCATGCAGCCGATGCACGCCTCCAGCTCCTGCGGGTGGTGCCGGGGGTTACAGGAGCCCGGCGGACACCCAGTGGGGCTCCCCACCCCCACCACAGGGACCTGGCCCATGGGGACCCGCCGAGAGAAAACACCCCCCAGCCCCTGCTGCCCAGCCCCACCTGGCTGCTAGGGACCGAGTATGCTGGGTTCACCTCCACCAGGGAGGCAAAGGTCTCCAGGAACAGGTCGCCCAGGCTCTGGCGGATGACCACGTTGGCCACGCTGCGGATGGGCGCCCGGAGCTTCTCACACAGCTCGCCGTACTCTGTGGAGTTCAGCCTGCACGAGGAGGGGGCTGCTGGGCTAAGGCCACTGGACACAGGCCCCTCTGTAGGGCCGGACCCTATGCCCAGGCAGCCTGGCCAGAACCCTGGGACAGGCATCAGGGAGGCCCAGGCTGCACCCTGAGGGCGACCGGGGTGCTCACAACCAAACAGAACATGGAGGCTCGGGCCTAGCCCAGCTGCCGATGAAAACGAGCAAAGACGGCCCTGAGCCCCGAGCCCCCACAGGACACAGGGAGGACTGCAGCTGAGGGAGGGGCCGGGCCCTGGCAGGTTCAGGACCAAGGAGGGTCCCGGCAGGCTGGCCATGGCCTCAGCAGTAAGGGAGGACCTGGGCTCCAGCCTCAGCTCCAGAGGTGCAGCCACCACGCTTCTGTCCTGTCCCACCCCAAACAGCCCAGAGGGCTCCCCTAGAAGTGGCAGAAGGCAGCTCAGAGGACAGCATGGACAAAGGAAGTGGGGGTACTGTGGGGAAACAAGGGGAACGCGGCCAGGGAGGAGGCCAGGGGTGGGTTGCAGGGGCCTCAATCCAGAGTCACACTCATCGCCTCCCAGGACCCAAAGACCAGACCCGGTGCCAGCTGGGCACAGGCCTCGGTGGACCCCGCCCCGCCCCCTACCGGATGTCGAAGGCCTCCACGGCAGGAATGGTGCTGGCCACGCGGATGGTGAGGAGCTGCACGGGCAGGTTCGAGTCCGGCGAGAGGTCGTGCTGCTGCGACTCCGTCACGGTCAGGTGCACGTCCTGCTGCTGGGCCACGTGCACACGGTACGTGGTCACCTTCATCACCCACGTGTCTGTCACGATCACACGGGCACCCGGGGCCCCTGTGGCGAACTTGTCGATCCGCCGGAACTCAGTGTTGACCGAGGAAGCGACAGCCTGCCAGCCCGACTGTGGGAGGGCATAGAGGGCTAGGGTGCGGGCCAGCGGGTGGCGGGCCCACCGGTCCCGGGACCAGTAGTAGATCAGGGTCCAGGAGATGGTGGGCAGCGTCACCGCCAGGAGGAGGAAGAGCCGCCAGGCCTCCGGGGCCTGGCCTGGGGAGTAGAGCCGCTTTTCCGAGGCTGCGAAGCACATGCCCACGTAGTAGCCTGCAGGGATGGAGCGGCCTCAGGAGAGGTCGGACTGCCAGGCCCTCACCCTCCCCTGGTGGTGCCCACTGAGGGTCACCGTGCTGTCCCTTCACCTCCCAGGGGCCACTCCTCTCGCCCCAGCCCTGGTCAGTGCCCCAGGCTGAGTGGGTCTGACCCACCTCCACAGCTGGCCCAGCTCAGCCCTTGCCCACAGTAGTGACACCATAGGCAAGAGACAAGCGTTTTTAACTTGCCACTTTAGTTTTATGCGTGTGAGTAATGAAGAAAACTAGCAAAACCTAGGATGGCAAAAATAAATACAAGGATCTGGTGTCCCCCAACATGGAGCTGGCCACTGGCTCTCCCCTGGGCCTGCTGACCCTCCTGAGGAGCAGATCAGAGCATGGCCCGCCCTAGCTGGAATCTCACGTGCCAGACAGTAAGCAAAGGATGGGGGCACGCCACAACATGGGAGCCAGTGCCCCGCACAAGCGGGCCAGACTGGGGCCAATCTGCAGGTTGAAATGAATGAAGTAGATGGTGAAGGTGTGCAGTGGCTGGTTTGATTGCAAAATTAATAGTAAAGATTGGCTGTTGGTCAAGTCACTACATCTCAGGATAATCTGTTGTGTTGCAATAGATATCATGTCAATAAAGTTTCAAAGCTTTTGAAAACGAATAAAATAAAAACAAAGCCCTGTGTCTGGCCACAAGATAGGCTTCACCCACATTTTGTAAGTTGCCAAACGGGAGAGGGGTTTGGGCGAAAAGGTGAAGAGACTGGGGATATGAAGTACACAGCCCAGGGGATACAATCCATAGTGTCTTCACTGGGTATGGCGCCAGGCAGGTGCTGGACTTACGGGGAAACACTTCCTAAGTTACATAAATGTCTAGCCATAGGTTGTACACTTGGGGCTAATCTTGTAAACCAACTGCAATTCAAAGATGAAAAGCTATGAAGACAGGCTCCACCAAGTCCCCAGTGTGGCCTCCTGGGGTCACTCTGCCCCTAAGCTCTGGCTCCCACACGCAGCCCCCTGCACTCCCACGCCCACCAGGGCCGCTGCTTCCGGCTGCGAGCTGGCAACCCCTCCCTGGTCCAGGCTGTAGGCGCGGTGGTCCAGCCCCTGCGGTCCCAGCCCTGGGTCTGCCCGCCCCCCCTACCCTTCAGAGACCCTCTACCCAGAACCCCACCCTTCAGCCGGGCCCGACCCATGGGCTGGCAGACTCGCTCCCAGAGACCAGCTGGCACCTGGGCGGCGGCCCAGCACAGCCCGAGTGTCCCGGCCACACATAGGTTTTCCATCTCTGC